GGGGGGGGGACGCGGGGGCAGCTGCCTGCATCTCGCCGGCGCGGCTGAGCGTGGCGCTGTGCCTGCAGAGCCCCGGGCAGAGTGGAGAGCAGGAGCTGGAGAGCCTGGTGCTGAAGCTGTCCATCCTCAAGGATTTGCTGTCCAGCATCGAGAGGAAGGTGGGTCCCGGGGCCGGCTTTATTGAGCCTCCCCACTGGGGGCTCAGGCCAAAGAGAGCCTCTCTGGGTCGGGGTCAGGCTGTGCTGAGGACCCTGGCGTGTTGGGGGGCCAGTCCTGCCCTGGACATGCCCCCTGAGCAGCTGCAGCTATGTGCCCCGTACCTCTTTGCAAGCTGCTGTGCCTCGCTGAGGCTTGGAAAGGATGGCATTAAACTTGGCCGAACGCAGGGCTCAGAGCAAATCCGCTCTCAGGTCCGGCGCCAATGGCCTCACTCAGGCACCGCCGCCCCGTGCATACGTACCTGCTGCCCCGGTGCCTCCCTGGGCAGTGGGGAGCCTGGCAGGATCAGGCACTACCACCAAGCTGGCTGCTGGCACGCAGTCTGCAGCTTCCCGGGTGCATCACCATGAGATGCACCCGGCTCCCCAGTGGTTGCAGCCCTGAAATCCCGGGTGCCACCCTCCGACAGCGCCTCTTGCAGAGCTCGGCAAGCCCAAGTGCAGACGGGGCCACTGGGGACAGCCAGGCAGATGATCGATGGGTCGATAGCGCTGGATCCCAGCTGCCCTTGCCTCCCGCTGCGGGTCGATCGCAGCCCTGCATGCTGCTGGTAGCTGAGCAGGGGGCAGCGGTTCATCTGCCAAACACCGTACCTCCACCCTGGGCTCTGCCAGCCCCCATCCTGCATCTGGGACTTGGGATTTTGCTATGAGCCCGGGACTCCAAAATACAGGCTGCTGTGGGCTCGTGGGAGCGGACACTGAGGGGCTGGGAGCCCTGCCCTGGTGCCGGGCTCTCTCCCCTTGAGCTCTGGAGAGGCGTTAATGCCCGGCTCTGCCCACAGGCCCTGAAAGCTCTCCAGGACATGAGCTCCACGGCACAGTCGGCCCCGGCTCAGCCCCTGTCCCGCAAGGCCAAGAGCATCCCTGTCCAAGCCTTCGAGGTGAGGAGCAGGAGATTGGTGCCTGGGTCTGGGCCCCATTAGGGGCAGGGTCAGCTGGGGTGAAGGGTCAGGTCGCAACCAGGCCCTGGGTCCCCACATGGGACCAGGGTGAAGTCGGAGACATGGTGGGGGCCTCGGGGCGTGACTGGGGGCAGTTGGTGACTGCACAGCAGGGATCGGGGCCGGGTTTGTGGTGCTGGGGGGATGGAGGGATGCAGACACCCAGGGGCACCAGGGGGGTGCACCAGCCCCGGGCAGTGCATCTTCTCCTTGCACTGGCATGAAGCCCCTGGGCTCGTGCCCTGCGCACCCGGGCCAAGAGCAGCCTTGTGCCTGCCCCAGGTGAAGCTGGATGTGACACTGGGAGACCTCACCAAGATCGGCAAGTCGCAGAAGTACACGCTGAGCGTGGACGTGGAGGGCGGAAAGCTGGTGGTCCTCAAAAAGCAGAAGGACTCTCAGGAGGACTGGAACACCTTCACCCACGACAAAAGTAAGAGCCCGTGGCCACCCCGGGTCCTTCCTCCCGAGGTGCATGATGCCCAGGGGATGGTGGTGGGGAGGAAACAAGGGTTTGCTCCAGGTTTGCTCACACCTACAGCCCTCTCCCATCCCGGTGTGTCCCCCGCCCCCCCCAAGCTTGCGGGGAGGGCACCGTGCTGCCCCCGAGGACCCCGCTTTGCTCTGATGCCCGGCGTCTCCCCACAGTCCGGCAGCTGATCAAGTCTCAGCGGGTGCAGAACAAGCTGGGCATTGTCTTTGAGAAGGAGAAGGACAAAACTCAGCGCAAGGACTTCATCTTTGTCAGCGCCCGGGTGAGTGGGGCTAGCTGAGCTCGGCGTTGCCCCTGATCAGCCGGCGCCAGGCAGTTGGCGCGGTTTTGAAGCCGGGGGTAGCGGGGCTGGGACTCAGGCTGGCGCCCTGTGGTTTTCAGGGTGTTCCACCCCAGAGGTGGCTGCCTCACAGGAATGGGAGAGCTCCCCCAGCACAAGCTGTGCCCCTTTCTAGGCCTCACTAGAAGGGGGGTCTGTGCCCCCCATGACCTCACCCCCTCGTCCCCCTGCAGAAGCGCGAGGCTTTCTGCCAGCTGCTGCAGCTGATGAAGAACAAGCACTCCAACCAGGACGAGCCCGACATGATCTCCGTCTTCATCGGCACCTGGAACATGGGTCAGTGCTGGCGGGGAAGCAGCCCGGGGGGTTCAGTGCCGGGGCACGCCTTGTGACGTATGCAGGTGCCTCCTCCAGCACGCTCCCCCCCTGGAGCCTGCACACTCGCGTGCCCCACCCCTTGCCCCCCACCC